AATGGAAGTTTTAAAAATCTGGTCCTTAGTTTTCTGCCCTCAGGACTGACATCTGCAAGAGTGGGAGGATCTGTGAATTTCCAGCAGAAAGTTTGTGCCTACTCCACCTAACAGCATTGGATGGCACGCTGAGAAGATGACAAGCACACAATGTGTACCAGTAAATTCAAAATTAAAAGTGCTCACTTGTTAATGAACTGTGTTAAACCAATTGTCTAAAGCTATTCTTTTTGGAAAACAGAAGGCTCAGTACTTATAATAACTGCTTTCAATCCCAGTTTCACCAATACGTAAGAACTTTCCAATACACAGAGTTAGCTAGGACTGAGGCACTAAGATCTATTTGGCCCTCTTTTCCTTATATATAAATTGAAAAAGGACTGGCAAAGACGTCCTACTCTGGTTTGGGTATGTGACTGTCCTTAGGTTCAGGAGATAGGAGTCAATGACTTCTGGAAGGCCCTTCCAATTGTATGAATATGCAAAAATATTTGGAAATTGCTTGTCAGGGAGTGATATCCAGGTGACTTGAACTGAGGTTGGCTCCCGAGGTGATAGAGACAGAAATATACCTATGGAATGAATATTCCAAGTTTAGAAATGAAGTTATTTCTGACTTCTCCTGTGGCCTCGTCCATAGAAGCCTTATTGTTCTGTACCAAAGTATTCTAGTTTTCAAGCCCTTGCTCTGCCACTAGCTAATATTATGGGCATTGCTGAGTCCTTCCTCTTCTTGGCTTCAGGCTCTGACTGAGAAATACAGGAATTATGCAAAAGCTTATGTCTCTTGCAGCTCTAATTTCTTTTTTCTTTTTTTTTTTTTAGCTGAGCCATCCTTGGCAGCTCAGCAGCAGGTCAGCTCAGGCCAGGCATCAAACCTTTGTTGCTCAGAGCTCACACTCTTGAGTGAGCTCTTAACCAGCTGAGCCACTCGGCCGGCCTCTAATTTCTTTAACTGTGTCTGTATGGTCCTATCTTCTGATCCTTACAGATGGTAACATAGCAGATGGTAAAGTATGAGATTAGAAATCCATGCCTGCTATATTGGAAGAGGGCTAGGAAGTGAGGAAAAGTTCCTTTGATCATGAAGAGGTTGGAAGAATTTTCCAATGTTACTTCCTTAGAAGGAAATTAAGAATGCTGAACCAACTTCACCTCTTCTGTGATTTATTAATCTTGGAAATGGTCTAGAAGCTACTGTGGAGGACATATCACCCTATTAAAACCTCTTTCCAATCTGAAATACTGATGATTATTTAATTTTGAAAAGCTTCTTTTCTTTTGGACTAAGTCCATTCTATATTCCTGGATCACTCAGATGCCTTGACCGCAGTTCCCTGCCCGCTTTGAAACACCCTGACAACCCTTTCCCGAATCTCTTTGGTCTTAACTCCATATACCACAGGGTTAAGAGCAGGTGGAAAGAGCAGATACACATTAGCCAAAAGAATGTGAATATGGAGTGGAATGTGGTGGCCAAAACGATGGGTAAAAAAGGAGAAGAGGGCTGGTGTATAAGAGATTAAGATGACACAGACATGGGAACCACAGGTCCCTAGGGCCTTAGACCGAGCTTCATGAGATGAAAGGCGAAAGACAGCTCGTGCAATGAAGACATAGGAGAGGCCAATGCAGAACAAATCAACTCCAATGACCAATAGTGCTGCTGTCAGTCCATACACACGGTTAGGCCTAGTATCTCCACAGGCTAGCTTCACTACAGCCATGTGCTCACAGTAAGTGTGTGGGATCACATGGCTTTGACAGAAGCTTAAACGCCCAATGAGGAAGGGACATGGGAGCATGAGCACGGAGCCCCGTACCATAGCTACCAGCCCAATGCGGACAATGATGGTGTCAGTGAGGATAGTGGCATAGCGGAGTGGGTGGCAAATGGCCACATAGCGATCAAAGGCCATGGCCAGCAGCACAGTGGACTCCATCATGCAGAAGGCATGAATGAAGAACATCTGTGCCAGGCAGGCAGCAGCAGAGATGTGTCCAGCTCCACACCAGAGGATGGCCAGTAGCTTGGGAACTGTGGAGAAGGAGGCAGCCAAGTCAATGGTCGAGAGCATACACAGGAACAGGTACACAGGCTTGTGCAGGGCTGGTTCAGTGGTAACAACAACCAGGATGGTTATGTTGCCCACAATCGTGGCCATGCCCAGGCAGCACACAGGGAGTGAGAGCCACAGGTGGAACTGTTCCAGACCTGGGATGCCCAGGAGGAAGAAAACAGAAGGGTCCAAACTAGTGTGATTAGGAGACTCCATGGTTTGGCCAAGAGTTCTGAGCATCTTCTTTGGTCAGAAACCCTCACACCGTATCATATTACCTGAAGAGACAATGCAGAATGGGGGTATAAGTGAGACTAGAATAACACTAGCTATATGGTGCTGTGCAAGCTTTCTTTATCATCTATAAAATGGGGATAATAATAATACCATCCCCTAAAGTTCTTAAGAGATTTTTATAGGTTAATATTTGTAAAGAGCTTTGAGTAGTGCCTGGAACACCATACCTGTTAAATAAAATTAGTCAATGTGAGCAAGGGCTCAAATAATCATTTTTAAAAATTATAGTTTTGTAGCTAAGGCCTGTTGTCCTCAAAGAAAGGTATAGACTTCATTTATTCTTTTTAGGAATCTCTATTTCTTTTCTGGAGTAGAAGAAAAGATTAAATGGGACCTTCAGTCCAGAACACAAACTCCCAACACAATTCACTGGATGAAGATGGACATTATATTTTTAGTTTTTCAACTTAGAATGGGTGCCGGTTTGGGACCCAGTGCTTGGTAATTATTTGTGATCTTAACATTACTATAGTTGTTTCCACGCCTTTCACAGACAAAGCATATTTCCCCATATCCCTGATCAACCTTCATTTGAAATCCCATAAGATGCTTGATTTATCCTCACATGTCCAGTTTCCATTTCCCAAGATGTTGAAATTAGCCTTATTTTGGATTTCATTCTATTTATGAAACAGAAACTTCCAGCCTTTTACAATCCACTCCCATGTAAATCCATCATTCACATTCTATCTGTGGTGTTTGGTGATTTCAAAGAAAAGATATAGCCATGCTTGAAACTTCATCTTGTGGTTGAACCCAGAT